GCTCCTGTCAGTTATAGCGCCGCTGCCCTGACAAAATTTCCCTCATAGCACATACACTCGTCTTTATTATCCCGGTTGCTTAAACGTAAGAAGTTAAACCCCATTTCATTTTTAAATCACTAACGTCTATTATGATGCACGTTTTCATTAGGGCGAGTAGCCACGCTGGCTAAGTGAGTAAGATGTTGGGTCTCTTAAACTGGAGGTTCCGTGCCGTGTTCGATCCCTACGATGGCTTAGACATTTCATCTGGATCTTTCGGAATGGTTCCGCCTTGTTAGTGGTGCAATATAGTCGTTCGGATGGTACTAAATACCGAGGTCCAGTGCACAAATTGGCGTGCACAAAAACGATCCCTTGACAGAATTCGATATGGCTATGCCCGTTTCATATAGCCCTTTAGGAGCAGAACAATAGGACGGTACGCGATAGTTCATTTCTTTTCATTAGATTGGTGTAGCATAGTAAGAAGTTAAGCCCCATTAATTTCATTTTATTGTAAAACAACTACTATCTACTATCTATTAAACAAGAAGTTTGCGGTTATGTTATGACAATTTTATCAAATCGTGCACCATTACTAAACAGCCCACCTACACTGAAATACAGTTTTGGCATTTTAGATTTAATTATTGAGGGCGTTTGTAGATTATCCCTCAGCTTGTCTTGCTGAAGATTTAAATTAAAAGTAATGTATAGGTGATTGCACGATTTAAATCTAGAAACTGACATGGATAATAATAATAATAATATTCTTCAGGCCGGGTTCACACTGTCCAACTTTTGTCGGTAAAAGTCCACTCAAATTATAAGAGTTGACTAAGAACAAATTGCAATAGACGGTTTCTTGGTACCATTGTGATCGTGGGACCACCGGCACCCACTATAACATACCAGCTAAGGTCTCTGATATTCGAGACAGGGAAAGGGCCTAATTTACATAAATTCAAAAAGGCCATCAAAAGTAACTTTGGAGTCTTATAAATCTTTTAATATAGAATTTTTGCCTTAATTAATTATTATAGATAGATGCATGAGCCCTGCAAGTCAGAATAGCTTGTCAGAAATTATCATAAATCAACCTATGACGTCATCACGTCTTCTGTTCACCTTAGTATACAATTTTCAAAAAATGACTGACTCCCTTGTAAGAAGATAACTGATAAAAATTTAAATGTAAACAATCACATGAGTATAAATTACAGTGCTTACCTTAATTGTCCCATTTTTTTTTTAAAGTCTATCGTCTATCACATGTCTAAAATAGTATTTATCTGTTTAATCTTTTCTGGGCTCAATTACCAGCCGCTCCCCTTCCAAAACTGGTAGCACTCAGACAAACCATGATACTTTGCAACACCTGGAGTAGGTGGCGAGTTCTGAATCTGGACATTACAAGATTTTCATTACATTTTCCCTAAGCTTTCTACTGTTTAGTTTGTTCGCCAAGCTGACAAACACAGTTCGGAGTTTTTATCCTCTTGAATCTTTTTGAAAGGGATACTTTTTCCAATACTAAACAATCTGTATGCTGTATCACATCCAGCTATAGCATGCACAAACGAAAGGGTGTCATGTTCTGTCAATAAGCAGAACTTCGTAGATTTTTTGAGTGAACAATTTGAAGACGATCATGTGAAAACATTGAAGACGAGTGAGAATGAAACCAATATGCTAATTGTTTACACAGGAGTGGAACGTGCTCTGTCAGATAGCACCCATGTGGTTGGGAGGACACTTGCCTCTTGGTTCTACTGTTCCATCTTACAAAGCCAAAGATGCCCAATCTGGTTTATAGGTCTGACAAGGATACTATAGCCATGCAGGTTATAGTAGTTATATATTATAATGTATGTCTTGAATATTTAAGATGATACATTATTTTTAAAAGTGAAAACCTTCAAATTGAATTCATTTAAACTCCCTGGACAATAACTAAAGGTGACTAGTTAATACGGAAAAGTTATGTGATTCTAATGACATGTTAATTTATTATAATCCCTTATTGTTTATAAAACAGTTATAGATAGAAAGTAACTGCTAATATGGCCTGTCTCGTGAACATGTCAATCGTATGATTAATCTATCTTGTGTGAGGGCGTCAAACGATATCTTCCGTTTGTGAATGCCATAGCCAGCTGGGTGTGACACAACATCTAGATTGTTTGGAATTGGCAAATTGTCGCTTTCAAAAAGATTCAAGTGGATTAGAACTTCCGTAAACAGGCTGATATATTTGCCCTGAAAAAATCCACAAATGGTGGAATTAAAGCTGCAGGGGAAGGGGGTTCTGTGGTGTTTGTATGGTGGGCGAACAATGGAAACACTAGAAAGCTTGCGAATGACAAAGTTTAGTGAAAATGTATTGCAAATCTTGTCCTGTGTCCAGATTTAGAACTTGCCGCCGACACTAGGTGTTGCAAAGTATTATGGGTTATGTGTCTACTATCATGTGCAGCTGTGGATAGGAGGGACAGTACATTAATCTCAGAAAAGTGGCGATGGAGACTTTAGAAAGAAAAGTAATTAGAGCCCAAAACAATTGTCTGTAGCTGTAAAATAGATTGTGACACCGCAAACTGCACCAGTAAGCGACACAGTTTAGAGTGTATTCACTAAAGCAGCGAATGTAAAGGTTTCACGTGTTTTTCAGGAGCAAGACCAGTTCGAATTTCAATAAGATAAACCATACTTGGGACATGTGATAGACTACTAAGATTTTACAAGAAATGAGACAATTCAGAACTAGCTTTAATTTAATACCCATGTGATTTTTACATTTCAATTTTCCTGGGTGTTGAGTCAGTTTTTTTTTGACAATTGTATGCCAACATCATCAAAATATGACGTCATGGGGTTGATTTATGATAAATTCTGACTAGATATACAAACTTCCGGGTGTAATGTTTCTATATGTAGAAATTTATAAGGTAAGAAACTCAATATTAAAAGGACTTGTTTCCAGACCGTTTATAGAGTTTATTTTTAATGATGATTACAGTGACAGTGACCGTGTAGACATCCTGGGGTTCCGCCATGTTCACACTGACAGTTAGACAATTCATCATCAGTAGAGGCTCCATGGTGGGTGCTCCGACTTTTGTGGTCTGAAAAATAACAAATACCAGATACAAATTAAATACTACATTTTGATATTACCATTACTAGGTAAGGCTTAACATCCGCTTTCAGAATTTCTGGTGATTTCACAGAAAACTAGTGTTAATTACATAAAAGCCTTGGACCTAATACACTTTAATATCAAAGTAATATACTTTGGTTTGACTAAAGCTTAATAGTAATGCATATTGGTTTTACCATGGCTTTATGGTAATTCATATTGGTTTGACCATGTCTTTTTTGTAATAATATACGTTTGTTTGAGCATGGCTTTATTGTAATAGCCTATACATTGGTTGACCATGGCTTTATTGTAATATACGTTGTTTTAACTATGGTTGTATTGTAATATAGATACAAATTAAAGACTACATTTTGATGTTACCATTACTAGATAAGTCTTAACGTCCGCCTCCACGCCGGTGGTGATATCGCAGAAAACTTGTGTTAATTACATAAAAGGATTGAACGTATCTTAATATCACCCCAGTACACTTTGGTATTGAAGTAATATACTTTGGTTTGACCATGGCTTTATGGTAATTCATATTAATTTGACCATGTCTTTTTTGTAATATACATTGGTTTGGCCACGGCTTTATAGTAATATACGTTGCTTTGACAATGGCTTTATTGTAATATACATTGGTTTGAGCATGGCTTTATTGTAATAGCTTATAAGTTGGTTGACCATGGTATTATTGTAATATAGATTGGTTTGACCATGGCTTTATTGTAAGATACGTTGTTTTAACTATGAGTTTATTGTAATATAGAAGATAAATATAGGTTTAATACATTAATCAACCCGAAATGCAAGATTTAATTATATTATCTACCGAATTGGATTACAGCTTACTAAGAGACAGATAATATAGATGGGGTTGGGTGTGGCGGGGTGTTCACTCTATACAAACTAGTTCATTTCAAGTCACCGGGACCAACATATGGTTCAATTTCATTTCACGTAGGGCCATCGCGACCCCCAGTCTATTGTCATAAAGTGGTTTCCGTACTAACCTTTACATTCACATCTTCCATCATGTAGATTACAGTGATGTTCTTCGTGAGCTTGACAGTGGATCACAGCTGCAAAATCATGGTTGCTGTCACAGACGCGTTGAGCTTCTACCACACATACAGCTGGAAATAAATAAAACATCATATTTATTATATGTATTATTCTAAAACCCTTTATTCTTACGATGCTTCACTTCCCAGGAGGTTTCAGGTTCGATGTCTTTACTCAATATGAGGTCTTGGGTTCGATCCCGGTATTAACCGAGATACGCTCTCTGGGTGTCCAGCAAGGTTTCCCATTTTTACGTGCACGTCTATATGTACACAGCTGGGCCATGTTTTTGTTCACTAATTCATCTTCATTGTCAGGTCGTACCTCTTGCACCACTGACAATGCCGGGAAATACATATGATCACTCTCGAGGAACCTGATATCCCCTAATTAGTGAGTCGGCATCATATTGAATGGTCTAGTGTGTTGCGCTTGGAGCTCTAGTTGGCAGGTAGCTTCTGGCTTGCGGTCGTGGTTTCGATCCCTGGGGTGATCGTATATACCTTCACATTAGGGGCGCCTTCTCAACCTCGTGGGTTTTCTCCGGGTACTCGCACAGGAAAGACCGCTAAAGACCCATACGTTGAGGACATCTCCGTTTCAATTGATCCATTTTAAGATTAAACCTAGGTCTACTTTCTTGATAGTCTGTTATCGTGCCGATCCTTTTAAACCAAGGCCGAAATCTATACATTGCATTTCAAATTATCAAGAAACTAGGTCCAGATGTCTTTTTAAATTTTAAAGTGGACCAAAGAACATTTGTGTTTTACTATAAATAATCAGTTGAAACGGAGACGTGATATATACGAATTTGTACGTGTAAGAAAATCATCAAAATGAAATTGTTGTTTTTAGTAGCCGTCGTAGCAGGTAAGTAAATGTTATAAAATTATTATTTCTTTAATGTTAAAAAAAATATGGCGCTGCTTCTTACTAACTAGGGGTTCTAGGGTGTTTGATCCTAAAGATTCTTCCTGTTTAAACATTGGTGTGTATTGGCATGCACGTAAGCTTGAGGAACACCGGCGCGTCCACCTACTCTGACAAGGGGAAACAACGACCGCAAGCCAGAAACTACCTGCCAACTAGAGCTCCAAGCGCAACACACTAGACAATTAGACCATCTCAATCCCTTAATTCCCGGATGTTTGATCCTCGGATTTGTTTCTGTGACGGCTATGTATAACCTGTTGGAGTCATGGGTGATCAGGTTCCTCGAGAGTGATCATATGTATTTCCCGGCATTGTCAGTGGTGCAAGAGTTACGACCTGACAATGAAGATGCATAAGTACACAAAAACATGGCCCAGCTGTGTACATATAGACGTGTATGTAAAAATGAGGAACAACGGCGTCTCCACCTGCTCTGATAAGGGGAAAACTTGCTGGACACCCAGAGAAATTATCTCGGTTAATACCGGGATCGAACCTGAAACCTACTGGTAATTGAACCATCGTAAGAATAAAGGTTTGTATAATAATTATATAATAAATATGATGTTTTATTTATTTCCAGCTGTATGGGTGGTAGAAGCTCAGCATCATTGTGACAGCAACCATGATTGTGCAGCCGTGATCCACTGTCAAGCTCACGAAGAACATCACTGTAATCTGCATGATGGAAAATGTGAATGTAGAGGTTAGTACGGAAACCACTTTATGACACTAGCCTGGGAGTCACGATTGCCCTACGCGAAATGTAATTCAACCATATATTTGTCCCGGTGACTTGAAATTAACTAGTTTATGTAGAGTGGACATCCCGCCACACCCCACCCTTATCTCTCTTCTCTGTCTCTTAGTAAGCTGTAATCCAATGCGGTAGATAATATAATTAAAGCTTGCATTCGGGTTTCTACGTTCATTGATGTATTTAACCTATATTTATCTGCTATATGACAATAACACCATAGTTAATACAACGTATATTACAATAAGGCCATGGTCAAACCAATATATATTACAATAAGGCCATGGTCAAACCAATATATATATATATTACAATAAAGCCATGGTCAACCAACTCATATGCTATTACAATAAAGCCATGGTCAAACCAATGTATATTACAATAAAGTCATGGTCAACCAACGTATATACTATTACAATAAAGGCATGGTCAAACCCATGTATATTACAATAAAGCCATTGTCAAAGCAACGTATATCACTAAAAAGCCGTGGTCAAACCTACGTATATTACAAAAAAGACATGGTCAAACCAATATGAATTACCATAAAGCCATGGTCAAACCAAAGTATATCACTTTGAAACCAAAGTGTACTACAGTGATATTAAAATACGTTCAATCCTTTTATGTAATTAACACAAGCTTTCTGCGATATCACCATCGGCGTGGAAGCGGATGTTAAGCCTTATCTAGTAATGGTAATATCAAAATATAGTATTTAATTTGTATCTGGTATTTGATGTTTTTCAGACCGCAATGTTGGAGCCCCACCAGGTACCTGTACTGATGATGACTTGTCTAACTGTCAGTGTGAACATGGCGGAACCCCAGGATGTCTACACGGTCATTGTCACTGTAATCATCATTAAAAATAAACTCTATAAACGGTCTGGAAACAAGTCCTTTTAATATTGAGTTTTTTTACCTTATAAATTTCTACAAATAGAAACATGACACCTGGAACTTCGTATATCTAGTCAGAATGTATCATAAAACAACACCATGACGTCATATTTTGATGATGTCAGCATACAATTTTCAAAAAACTGACTCAGCACCCAGGAAAAAGTAAAGGGAATATACTCTAAACTGTGTCGTTTACTGGTGCAGTTTGCTGTGTCACAATCTATTTCACAGCCACAGACAATCGTTTTAGGCTCTAATTTTTCTTTCTAATGGTAAGTGCAGGAGGACTACACCACACATAATTTACACAAAAACAAATCTATGGACAAGACACAATACGCAGAAATCACAAACAAACGAACATATCAAATTAAGTGAATGGATCCGGTGGCTAGCCGTAAGCGTCCACTGCGCTGTACAGTCCCGGACCTGTAGTGATGCAGACTTCACTCAAATTTGAAAACAATAGGAATATAACCCAGAGAAACCATTGTGTAATGCCAGCATGAGTCAAGATCTGCTATATGTTACATGGAATATGCAAGTAAACATATTGAACTAAAAATTATCTATACAAGTAACCATATCGGTGAAATGCATATAAAAAAACAGGTAGTCTAAAAACTAAAAGTTTTAAGTTAAGTGAGAAAAGTTTTAAGTGTTCAATAGAATCGAGGTATATTGATTATAGCTGGGGCATATGTTCCATTTACCACAAAACAGAGTAAAAGACAAACAATACTGAATATAAAGAAGCAAATGAGAAAATGTAAACCATCTCGAAAGACAGCCGTCTGCTGACTGAATGGCGTGACGTAAAGGCGGTAGTTTGCTAATGACGTCAAAGTTTATAGAAATGTAATAAAAAACAAAATAAAAAGGGCGATACTCCAGATAAGATAACCCCAAATTTTTAATATACTATCGATTCAGGAACTAATCGGAATTATTCAGCTATGTAATTGCACTAATTATAATACGTAAAACCGTACAAGAAATGCAAAACAGGTATGCTGAAGAAATCGTACTATAAACATATATTTATATAAAAGCATAACCAGCGGCTGCCAGGCAGGATACGCCCACATTTTGCAAGAGATGGATAGAGAACAAGCTAAAAACAGGATTTTTGGTACAATCAGGGGCAATAATCCAGAAAGTTATGGTCTGAAATGCCCAAATATCAAAGGGGACTGAGATCTTTGGGATATAAAGATATGTTTTAAGTTTCATCAAAATCGGATAAAAATTGTGACCTCTAGGGGGTCCACGACCTTCGTAGCATACTTTTACACAATTTGCGTACAATGTGCGGCAATTTAGTCGGGCAATTTCATTTCGATTTTCCCGAAATTCGAATTCAACCTTCATTATGGTGGAATGGTGATATATTCAAACGGTTTTTAAAATCGGAAAAAAAAATTGTGAACTCTAATTGCGATTTTTCGAACAATCAGGAGCCATAATCCAGGAAGTTACGGTGTAACGGTGATATATTCGAACGTTTTTTTAAATCGAATAAGAATTGTTACCTCTAGAGAGACCACAAGCTAAAAACGCGATTTTTTGTACATTCAAGGGTCATAATTCAGGAAGATACAATCCGATACGCGCGAATATCGAAAGGAACCAAGATCTTTGGGTTATAAACGTGTATTTCAACTTTCATCGAAATCGGATCACAATTGTGACCTCTAGAGGGTCCACAACCTTGATTTACCAGATGTTTACACTATTTGCGTACGAGGGGCGGCCATTTTGTCCAGCAGTTTTGGCCAGATTTTCACAAAATTCAACGTCAACAAACATTATGGTGTAACGGTGATATATTCGAACGTTTTTTTTAAATCTATCTATCTATACTAATATTTGTGACTGTCGTTTGTCTGTCTATTCGGGGTTGGCGGCTACACTAGGTCTGCCCCGAGTCTGAAATTTGGGGTATAGGGGTAGCTTGGACCGGGGAGTAACATAGGCCAGGTGGCGTTAGTCTAACCAGAGGCCATAATTCAGAAAATTACGATTCGAACCAAGACCTTTGGGTTATAAACTTGCATTTCAAGTTTCATCGAAATCGGATCAAAATTGTGGCCTCTAGAAAGTCTAGAGGGTCCACAACTTTGATATACCAGATGTTTACACTATTTGGGTATAAGGGGCGGCCATTTTGTCTGGCAATTTTGGTCCGATTTTCATGAAACTCAACCGCAGACAAAATTACGGTGTAACGGTGATATATTCGAACGTTTTTTTAAAAATCGGATAATAGAAAGGAACCAAGATATTTGGGTTATACACATGCATTTCAAATTTCATCAAAATCAGATGAAAATTGTAACCTCCAGAGGATTCACAACCCTGATACACAATATTTTGACACTATTTGCGAACGAGGGGCGGCCATTTTGTCCGTCAGTTTCGGTCCGATTTTTACGAAATTCTAACTCAACCACCCTTAGGGTGTAACGGTGATATATTCACACGGTTTTCTTGGATCGGGTCCACAAGCTAAAAACGCGATTATCTTAGGGTGATAAACCTATATTTCAAGTTTCATTGAAATCGGATAAAAATTGTGACCTGTAGAATGTTCAACAATTGTGGACGGACGTCCGGATAGGGGCGACGACAATATACGTCTACGTGAATATACGTCCACATACAATCAGGGGTCATAATTCAGGAAGTTATGGTCTGATATGCGCGAATATCGATAGGAACTGAGATCTGTGGGTTATAAACATACATGTCAAGTTTAAACTAAATCGGATAAAAAATTGTGACCTCTACAGTGTTCACAAGCTAAAAACTTGATTTTTCGTACAATCAGGGGCCATAAACATCCGATAAAATGATAACGCATGTCATTTTGATAGCTCGTGTAATAACACCGACTGTTAAAATATTCATTAGATGATATAAAATAGAATTACACGCCCTTGATTTATGATCTACCTTAAGCCACAAATGACCAGGAAATCCACATGAAATTCTATCATTTGGTGTTATGAGTCGATAATCGATAAGAGTAGAATAAAACGGGAACCTTGTTGCACCCAATATCACAATCAAATAATTCGTTGTGACTTTATAGAAAGGAAGCGAATGAAATTGGGATTATGCCCGGTGAAAGAAATGCGTGTCTCATATAAAAATGATAACGCATGTCGTTTTGAAAGCTCGCGCAATAACACTGACTGTTAAATTATCCATTAGATGATATAAAATAGAGTTACACGCCCTTGATTTATGATCTACTTTAAGTCACAAATTACTAGGAAATCCACATGATAAAATTCTATCTTTTGATTTATGAGTCGATAATCGATAAGAGTGGAATTAAATGAGAACCTTGTTGCACCCAATATCACAATCAAATAATTCGTGTGACTTTAAAGAAAAGCAAGCGAATGAAATTGGGATCGTGTAGCGTGAAAGACATGCGTGTCTCTAGGCCGATCGACGTTTAATTACCGATGCAATTGTCGTAATTCAACGTAGCAAACAAAAAGGAGACCCCTCACTTGAGTCTTTTAAGTGGAGAAAATCTGTATAAAGTCCCGGAGCTAATTGCTGTCAACTTTCAGATAATTAAAATGATAGAAAGGAAAATAGGAATAACTTCAAAGTTAACTTGGATATCAGGAATTGTCACCTGAATATGACAACGATTTGCCGATACACTTCCATCATATGAAACGTGTATTATAACTAGTTGAATAAACTGTGTCTGCTTGTCTTTTGACAGAAGCAATGCTTCTTTGGCTGGCGTCTGCAAAGGTTGGTGGCTAATTTTAATGACAATCTGCTTCCCAGCTTTCCATGGTAAAAGACGGTTTTAATTGCTTAGACAACAAAAGAAAAATATCGGCGATGTAAACAACAAATTTTACTTAATAATTCCCGAATACCAAAGCCCTGTTCAGACGGTCGGACATGTGTATGGTGATATCCAAATTTGTTGTTCAAATATCGGTAATAACTTGCCCGCTTATAATTACTTTTTTCCTTTTTTTTTTAATTGAAATACATTGTATATTAATATACATAAGAACGGTTTAAACATTTTCAAGTTACACTCTAGAACATTAGCATGTCTCAACCCCTGAAGTCTCCGGGTTCGTCGACAATGGCAGTGGTGCAAGAGGTAGACTGGCACGACAGAGGATCTAGTTTGAACACTGACGTGTATATAAGCTTGTGGAACATTAGCGTGCACGTAAGGATGCGGAACGCCGACGCTTCCTCCTACTATGACAAGGGGAAACCATGCTGGACACCCAGAGAACGTATCTCGGTTAAATGCGGGATCGAACCCGAGACCTCCTATTGAGAGACATCATAAGTATAAAGTTTTGTAGAATAATTAATAATAAATATGACGTTTTATTTATTTCCAGCTATATGGGTGGTAGACGCTCAGCGTCATTGTGAACACAGCCGTGATTGTTTAGCTGTGACCCACTGTCAAGCCCACGAAGTACATCACTGTAATTTACTTGATGGAAGATGTGAATGTAGAGGTTAGCACGGAAGACAGTTCATGGCTCTATGCTTGGAGTCGCGGTGGCTCAGTGGGTAAGGCGCTGCCTCGCTCGCTGTGCAGGGGTTTTGGGTTTCGATCATGGTGTTGGTCGTGAAAGTACCTTTAGATTTTCCTGCGTTGTTTCTCTGTTCGGTACGTAGTACAGGACATGACAGAGGGGCTGGCAAGAGAGGATGTGTAGTCGTTCGGTTGGAAAAACCGAGGCCCTGTGCGAAATGAAATTGAACCAAATTATAATTGTTGGCCCGAAGACATGAAATGAACATGTTTGTGTAGAGTGGAGTGAACCCCCTCCCCAAACCTGTCTCTCGTCTCTGTCGCTTAGGAATTCGCAAAGATCTACCATTTAATTCGGAGCGTTTTATATTGAAAGCGTGCATTCGGGTTACCACGTTAATTAATTTATTAGACCTATTTATCTGTTATATTACAATAACGATATGGCCAAACCAATTTATATTAC